CCATTTAAGTATGTGTTTGGACTGCGGGAGGAAACTGCAGCATCCAGAGGAAACACACATGAACACAGGGATAACATACAAACTCCAAATAGATGGCACACCAGGAATTGAACCCAGGACCCCAACAATGCAGCAATGTGAACCACTGCAGCACCATGCCATCTCTAAGTTAAGTATAAGGTTAAATAACAAAAATAACAATAAGACAATGCAAGGCTCCAAAAGGTAGTAGTTAATTAATAATACAGAAAGTCTGACAGAAGATGAGGAGCAGAGAGGGGGTGATATGGGACTGAAGGCAGAAGCATATTGTTGAAGATGAAGACAGGAAAGATACTTTGGTCAGTAAAGCAGTGGTATGTGGTCTGTATTTTCCCAAACAGCAACAGAAAGTGCAGATTTCTGTGGTTTTCAGCTAATCTCGACTAAAGAGCATCAACATCTGAAAAAGAAAGTTTGCTTTGTATGTTGCAGGCACTGACTACAACTGCATTCATTTTTGAAAAGGTTAAAATAAAAGTAAGAAGAATTAAAATGGTTCCCAGTCATCAGCATGTTGTATTATTAAAAGCTGGTCGGTTCATATTGATTATAAATAATAATATTTATTATTATAATAATAATAATTGTACTTTATTACTTACCATTTTATAATATTTGTAATACTTCAGATGCCACTTTAAGAAAAACTTTGAGAATGTACTTTATATCTATGTGTTGTTTCAGTAGTTTCTAGATCTAAGGTGGATAGCCACTACGTTTCCCTTTAACAACAAAACATTTTAAAAATGCATTCACTGAACGGAAATGAAAAAAAAAACATGAGACCCTCAAGGGTTTCAGGCAAGATCATAAAATGTAAATCTTGAGATTTAAATTCATGTTGCATTTTTAAATTAGCACAAAGCAAAAAAAAAACTAACACAGGAACTGTGTAAGTCTCCCCGGATATCAGAAAGGGCAAATACAGAACTTGTTAGAACAAGAAAAGGCTCCGGTGAGGTTATGAATTGCTGACTATGCATATGGTTAATTTGCAAAAACCTTCAGTTGTAATACATAGAACTGGGTTACTTCCTATGTAGTAAGCTTTATAACCCCCCTTTTTTTGCTTCTTATTGACACACGGGCTTTTTAACTGCATTATGATTTATAATATACAGACTTTGAATTTTAAAGATAACTTTCACTGAAATCAACTAAGTGTGCTACAGTATATTCTAAAAGCTACAGCAACTGTAATAGTACATAGAACATACTTTTAGAATTCAGTTAATTCAGAGTGGCATACTTTAGAAAGGTGCTCAAATACATTTGAAGCCTGTGCTGCGACCTGTGCTCGGATTTTCCTCATTAAAATGTTCTGCAGTCTAAATGACTACACAGCACTGGGGGTGGGCCAGTGGGCCAGGGGGTCAGCGCAACCCAGCATCACTGCATTTCAATGGTGCTGATCTTCCTCCTGTCCTGCAAGGGCGTTAACACCGAGCAGTGGCAGGGTTACTGTGTTATTGTTGTGCATTCTTCAGAAATATATTCGACTTTGGCTTCCAAAAGATGACAACGGCAGGCAGTTTAAAATAAATGCGTTGGTAGCCATCTGCAAGCCGTGCATTTCTGTTTTATTATCAAAACACAGCTTGTGGAGTGATTGACGTATAGATGGGTAATGCATGCCTCACTAGTGAAACGTGCAGAGAATTTGCTAGTTATTTGCTAGTTACAAATAGTAATACTGTAGGTACTTTGCTAGCCTTCACGTACGGACTTTTCACCACATGCTCACGAGAGCCAGTATGGCTATTCTCAGTAATAACTAACACAAGGTTTACAGGACTCCTAAACTAAAGCGGTGCTCAGTTTTGGACATTTGGCGTTTCTGCATCTTTTGAGGTCCTCCTCTGTAAACTGGACCTTTTTGCTCTCTTGCTCTGAAGATGTGGCAGCTGCTGCCAATATTCTTGGCATGAAGGCGTTGTTTTCAAGGATGCAGTGTATTTCTGGAGCTCCAGGTCCATAGTCTTTCTTACTGCAGTTCCCTCCTGCTCTTCATACAAACACATTGGCCAGCCTGAAGTGGGTTAATACTTTTTGCTAAATTGCCAAGCATCCCACCTAACAACAGTACTTGCATCTTTTTAACTAATAGGGTCATGCAATAATATAAAAAAACTCCAAAAAAGGTTTGAAATTTACCTTCCATCACAACTAAGCAATTGAAATGATTGGCAATTAGCGATCTGCCTTCCATTAAGTAATTAAGAGTAATAGACCTGAGCCAAACTAAAACAAAATGTTCCCCTTTTTGAAAAGAACAGAATTATGAAGTGACCAGGGGTGAATTTTTGTAGTTTAAATTAAAAGCAGGCATGCTGGCAGCATATGTACAGTGACTTCACATTTACTTCAGCAAATCCATGCCAATCCGTCAGCTACACTGCTTCCACGATCTATCGCCAGGTGGAAGAAACTGTAATTCGATGACACTGAAGGCATAAGCCGCTGGACTAACTGGTTGTGCTCGTTTTCGCTTTCCTGACCCTTACCTGGACGTAGCGCCAGAGGCGGAGGAGGGGTGGGCTGCTGTCCAGACAAACCCCTCCCCAGCCCTGAGCCTACTGTACGGCCACCCCTCTCTCTGTGCTTTTCGCTTCTCACCATTTCTGCTTTATTGAATAATAATAATTACTGCAACAATACTGAAAGCAAAAATGTACTACCATACGCAAGGGAAGACACTTCTGCTGTCACACAAATGCAAGACAAGTCTTTGAATTATATTCACAATGAGCCGCGTTCTCCGAAATGTGTGCTTTACAGTTTTCTTACAGACGCAAGCTCTCAGTGACATGGGTTTCCGATGGGTTTGAAAATTAAAATTAGAACAGTGCCCAGTCTCCGGATGATATGGCACTGTTCATTATGAAACCTAATAACACCTCTGACATTGAACCAAATCCAGAATAACTGCTGTGACAATCCCACATGAGCACCAGTTATGGCTATATACTGTAGTTATTTCCAATCCAAATAAGGTGGGTAAAATACCGTTACCCTAATGTATAATCTGTAAAAATAAAATAGTTCAAATAGTTGAAATATTTAAAAAAGAAGAATGTAAATGGCATACTGTTTTAGTAGAAAAAAATGTATCATTGTCTTTTATAGTTAATATGTACTATTCGTTTTTGACAAGTAAAGGATAGCAGTAACAGCCAAATAGCTGAAATCATGGCATGTCTTTTAATTAAAAAATGAATTAGAGTTGCTAATGATTTGTCTGCCTTGCCCCTGCAACCCTGAATTGTCACTGGTTAATCAGCTGGGATTGAAGACTAAATCCAACACATAAGGGGGTGGGGTGTATCCCCTCCACAGCCAAACAAGCTCTCACTGCTCTCGCTGGCAACGCCTCAAGCCTGTGGCCACACGGGTCACTGCGGCACAGCAGGCAGAGGACTCCCCGGCCAGCTCTAGAAATCAGCCCCATACCTTTCCTATTCAACTAAAGCACGAAACGGAGAAGCGACCCTCCGACGACACAAGTTTTGCAAGCCTGTGCATGTTATTTCTCAGGCTTAGGGGTAGAGAGACCGGCCCTGGAGTGCACTCACTCTAAGAAACGCTTTGTTTCCAACGGCACAAGATGGTTTTGGGACACTATCGGAAATTTCACTCAGTGATACTCTGTTGATTCCTGATGTAATTCTCAGGTTATTGGAAGACTAGGTTTCAAGGGAGAATAAGACTGTATTGTAAACACTAGTAGCCACTTTAACATCTTTATCTGTTCTGTTTATAATATTTCCAATTATATTAGATGCATATACAGTGATATTTGAAATATAATATTAGATACAGTACATATACTAATTACAAATGTTTTAAAAATCTTGTAACCTGTACAAATCCCAACGTTTCACAACTGCAAAACTATCTGAGTTCTTGTCTTAACCTGGAACAGCCCTGTAGCAATTTTTTTAAATAAGAACCTTAGGAATCTAATCCAATGGAAATCAAAATGATTTTCCAACTAAACACTTCACCACTGTCTGATCCAAATGGTCTCACTTCCAAAAAACAGTAACTTAAGATTTAATTAAAGATAAACAGCTCTCTAGGCTCTTAAAAACTTGTTAACAATTTCATGCCTAATGCAGTGATAAGGTACATTCTTTAAAACAGACAACAACAAAAATGAAAACATGTCTCAGACCAAATACTGAAAAATGTGATGAAAGTGCTTCTTAATCTTTGATTCTTCCTCATTATTAACCTACAGATGTGGCTGCTTGTGAAGATGATGAAATCATAAAAGAAATCAGATACCTAATATTATTTTAATACTTTAAGAAACAGCAAAAATACCAGATTATCCCAGAGCTAAACAGGCCTTAAATATTCAGCACCAGTAAATTTGGATACAGTTCAGTTAAATCCATGTAGAGATTAGGAAGCGCCTAATACAGGGTTTGTAAAATTTGGAATCCAAAAAACAGCCAAAGGGGTATCCAAAGTTTCTTTTTATAGTATAAAAGATTGAATTTCACAAAAGACTTAAGAAATAAACATTACAAAAAATAAAGTGGATTTCAGTTCACCTAGATCACAAATATTGTTGTATCCACACTTTTTTTTACTGTAAGGTACGCATACTGTACTTGTAATTTTACAGCCTATATTTGACATAATGTGTAACTCAGCATATGAGATTTATTTTGTACCCATTTTGTGTTATACCACCCTGTGCTGATCTGTGTCATTTACTCGTTCTTACTTTGCATTCTTTGTAAATACACAGGAGTAAATGTGTGTAGCCTTGGACATCAGCCAAATAAAAAAAAAGGCAATAAGAGAGGAAAGAAATTAGAAAGCGAAGAAAAAACACTGAATAAAGCTGGAAGGGGAACCAAGCTTGAAGAACAATCAGCAGCCGACACCGTTTCTGTTTTGTCTTCCTTATTTTTAATGCTGGATGAGCGTGTTTTCTGGTCCGTTACCTGCCCCGGGTCATCCTCTGCACCACCTTCACGCCCCTCAGGACGCAGGACCTGCCCTCCCACTCGCGGCCGCGGTCCCCGTCCCGGTCCCGAAGGCCTCGCCCCGGGGAGCGGAGGGGGCTCAGCTGCACCTCGCTGAAGGTCCCGTAGCTGTCCTGGACCAGGAGGCACAGCCTGCGGGGGAAGAGAGCAGACGCAGGGGTCGGCAGGTGGAGCCAGCGAAACCGATGAAGAAGGCGCCTCCCCTCAGGCGATTAATTTTTATTTACGCTTAACAAAAGGACAAACATTACAATACAAACAAGAGTACATATAACAATTCCAAACAAAAATATCGTCAGGGGTACATACTACTACATCAATTCCAGTTATGAAAAAAGATTAAACAAATTAAATAAAAATAATGTCAGCACCGCTTTCATATTTTTGCATTTCGAAATAGTCTGCAAATACCCCTTTACTTCCATTTTAAAATGCTCAAATACAGGGTACCTCCCAGACCACTTCATTTTATGTATGTGATAACGTGCCAATATAATAATTAAATTTATTACAAAATAAATTTTTATATTGTTTTCATTGGGGCTGAAACTTAACATAATATCTTTTTCAACAAAACAAATATCAATATTCGTCTCTTCTTTTATATAATTCTGCAACTTAGTCCAGAACATTTTTACCCTGGGACATAACCAAAACAAATTCTGAATAGTTTCAGGGCTATTGTCACAAAAAACACATTTGTCATCTATATTAATTTTAAATCGTTGGGTAACAAGAGTTTTAACTGGGTAAATTCGATGAATTATTGTGTATGAAACCTCCTTAATTTTATTGGCTATTCAATATTTATTGGGCATCATCCAAATTTGTCTCCAATCAATGCGCTTTCCAAATGGACAGGACGTTCGCGTGCGGTTTCCAGGTCGTCCGTCTTAGAGGTGGTCCGCAGCGGGGACGCTGCTGATGGCTGCCTCTCAGTCGAGCCCCCTGACCGCCCGTGATCGACAAACGACAAGAGTTAACTGGGCAGCGATATTTGTTCCTGACATTAGCCACGCTTTTATCTGCGCCAGCCTATTCTTTGAAAATACTTCTGCACTACACAATGGCGGCAGGAAACAGACTCCAAGGGAAATATAATAATGCGTACTTTCAAAGACTGTTTACAGATAAACAATGTTAGTGTCAGGTAAGGAGAACAAGGAGGGAAATTCTTCCAATACCAAGAATTGCTCAAATTCTGCAAACCTTTTCAAACTTTGATTTTAGAAATATGAAATGATGGCATAATTAGTCTAAAGTGTTTTCACAACCCAGCGTGAAATTCCAATTCACCCCTAAATGGTGCTTCATGTCAAAACTCTGGTTAATTATTTTGAACACTAAATATTTAATCAAAAATGTTGTAGTGATTTTCTTTTTGTGTTATAACACTGGCAATGCAGGCTGGTTATTTACAGGTGTTTGTGTAAATTAAAAAAATAATCATTTTTCAAATTAAGCAACTCATACTTTAAGCACAAGCACCCTTTCTATGGGTAAAGTTTTTTAACTAAACAAACTGCATGTAGTTTGATTAAATATCTTTGTATTGTTGAAAGCTACTAAGGGTTTTCACATTGCGGTGTTGCAGGTGTTTTGTTTAATTATATTTTGAATATCATATATTTACATTTTTTTAAGTAAACGGTTAAAAAATTCAACTGCAATGCTAAACATGCAGGTTTGAGGAGGAAAATGTACACAGTACATCGCACTGCCGGGTACCAAATAATTACTGAAAACCAAACGGATATCCTGGCCAGAAGGCAGGTGGCTCTGGCGGATCATGACCTTTTCAATGAGAAGGCAAATGCCTGTCCAGAGAAACCCTCCTGACTGCTTCAGCCCAGAGCACAACATGACCTCCTGTGCAGTGCAAGTAAACAGAAGATAATGGTCACATGTGGACAGCTGGGAAAGGAAACCTGCACTGAGAGAACTGAGGGGGGGTCATTTGGTGTTGAACACCAACAAGTCCAAAGCTTCCTAGAACTTGGGCAGTCTAGCCACCTGATTCCTGATATAAACTCCTGGCAAACACAGTAGAATACCTCCTGCTGCCTTCTAAATTCATTCTGTAAAACACAGAAAACACCGTCTGAATGCTGAAAACCTCAAACAGCGTTTTCCATTCTGGGTCACCTCCTCACTGGGGCTTCAACAGCACTTGTTTGCTTTACACAAAAAAGTTACCAAATGCCGTTGATACATGAACTCCACCCTTACCACAGACAAGACAAAGGACTATGATGCAACAGGACTGCTATCCGACTAGCAAACAAAGCTTCTGAGGTCATCGTAGTGTTTATAAAATGTACACCAATCTAATGTCAACTGGGAGATGGCAGTGGACATTAGGCAAAAATAAATGTATGAGGAAAAAATTGAAGGAGAACTCAGTTGTAATCGTTTTAGAACTGCATGGAGTGAAATAAAAAGTATGCTCAGGCTACAGGACAAAGGTAATTTCTCCAAAAACATGATCCATATCAGGGGTTTTAATACAAACAAAAAGCTGGCTGATGAACTCAACGATTTTTACCTTCAATTTAACAAGCATGACTTGAGTGGAGAAATCTGGGAACTTAAAGAGAAGTTCACTGCTACCCACCAGGCTGAATTTGATACTCAAAGTGTTTCAAACATTTTCAAGTAAGGAAAAAAGTCAGGAAAAGTCTTGGACACGATAGCATCGGTGGGCAGGTACTGAGGTCTGAGCAGCTTATTGTTGATTATAAGCTAACTACTGTCGATCGTAAGCTCACCTTTAACACAAATATGGATGCCATGCGTAAGAACAGCCAACACCATTTGTTCTACCTGAGAAAACGACGCTTTCTAAATGTTTACAGCACAATAAGGTCTTTATTCTACAATTTTTTTAAATTGAATCTGTTCTAACTTTCACTCTGGTAGCCTGGTTTGGTAACCTGAACACACGCAATAAAACAGACTGAGCAGGATAGTGAAGGTAGCTGGCAAAATTATCGGGGTCCAGCAGCTACAGCTGACAGACATCTATACCAAACAAGCAGTGCAGAGGATCAATCACAGCCTAATCACTGTCTGTCATGACCACCCCTTGCAGTGAATCTGAGCTCCTACCAACAGAAATTAGTCATCTTTCATTCCCATTATTAAGCTGCCTAATTTAGACATATGATTGCTATATTTTAATTTCTTTTTCCATTATTCATGTATCTCACACACGAACCATTTTTCTCATCTTAATAAACTGTTAAGGATTAGTTAAAGCTGTTGACTTGGTTATCTTATTTTACGCATGTATGTTTTTTACTTGGTAACGGGTTCACGTTGTGTTAAATGTATTATGTACTGGGTTATGTCTTTGACTCCTTAAAAAGAAAATTTCCCACTACTACTACAAGGTGAAAAGGGGAAATCAAATCTGGAGCCTAGAACACAACGTTGTGTTTTAAATAACAGAAAAGCATGAAAGGCTGTGCAATTTAACAAACTTCTCTTTATGATCTGTTCTTAACAAGCCTAAAAAGAGACCATGTGCTCTTTTTTATTCAGCAGACTTTCTTGCAAGTCCAACAGAGATAAACTCAGTGGATACAATCACAGTTAAAAGTCAGGAAGACACAGCAAGACATGAACTACACAGTACAAAGAGGTCAGCAAGCTCAGATAATGCCACCTTTGAGCCGGGTTCTGTACATCTGGAGGAATTTCTAGAAACACAGAGAATTCCTACACTGTTGTATATCTTTGTGCATTTTGAGTTGCTCCTTGCAATAGGAATGAGCTCATTGCTCAGAGGACTTTATGGCTAAGTAATAAATGCAATAAAAATTTGTCACCTCAATAATAGCTAACTCCAAGATAAAAAAAAGATTGTAATGTTAAATGTCAATAAATTCCTTTGTCCATTGAATATCTGATAATGAAACCACCCAGCCATTTGCTTATAGTAAGTTTGTTCTGGTGTGGGTCATGACTGGTTTTTAATTATTTAATTAATAATTTACAGCTATTATTCTAATATCATCAGAATGCTTGTTTTTAAAACATTAAAATATGATCTTGATCATTACTGCGTATATTATTTCACATAGATGGAAAAACACAGTTTCTGATTTCACATTAAAACCATTTTGAAATTGTCTTTTCCTCTAAACATATTTCTCACACCACAAAGAACCCATGTGTATGCAAAAACCACATGTGCATCACTATTGCTATTGACAAAGTTAAAGTACTTTTTAAAATATAACAATATGTAACATGCAAAAGAAAAAATGTATACTATTGCAAACTGTGAGTTGGCAACAGCAATCTAAAACTTCTATGTTTGGAAATCACTAACATTAATCATAAGAACATATCGGTTTTAGTCTGTCATTATGAAAACTATGCCTCACAGTGCTTGGACCCCTGGGTGCAATTCCTGGGGCACTATCTGTGTTGAGTTTGCAAGTTCTCCTCGTGTTCGCATGGGTTTTGTCCGGGGGCTCTGGTTTCCTCCCCCAGTCCAAAGACATACTGGTACTGTAGATTAATTGGCTTCTGGGAAAACTGGCGTGTGTGTTGGTGTCTGTGTATGTCCTGCGTGCGAATCTCACCTCCCACTCCACTGCGACCCTGAACTGGCTAAAGCAGTTAGAAAACAGATAGATGGATAATGAAAAGTAATGCATTACAGAAATGTTACAAACCTAACATAAAACAAACATAAAACACTCTCAAAATGATGTTTAAGGCTACATCTTTTGATACAGTACATCAGAGACTAAATTCATAGAAAGGGCGTTGTATAAAATACAGAAAAAAGGCACATTTCTTTAATCATATCTAGAATGTGTGCATGTTTAACTGCTACAGCAGCAGCAGTCAATCTCCAAAAGGAAGTGACCACTTGTCCTCTTTAAACGAACAAGCTCCTAATAAATACAGAAAATTCCCCAATAGTCATTGGAAGGAGAGATAAACAATGGCACTTCCCTCAGAAGAAGGGACAGGCAGGACCTTGACCTAATGTACCCACAGCATGAAGAGGGAGGAGGAGGGGAAAGAAAGACTACAAGATCAATGCAGCCTGTTCAAATTCTGCCTTTCTGTGGGGTGACGTTGAGAACAACGTCTTACTTAAGAAATGTTAAAAA